GATTTTTAATATAGCTTCAATATGTTTATTAGACAGAATTTGTTGTCCTTCCTGTAGCCTATAGCCCCAATAAGTTACCTGAGATAGGCAAAGCCGAGCCTTTTTGGCAGAGAGTCTATAGTCCATTTCATCCAGTTTGCACGATAAGTTCTCAGTTGCCTCTTTACACAAGTCATAGGTGTTAGAGGCCAACAGTATGTCATCAATGTACTGTGACACAGTTATTGGGGATGTTCTCCCCAGAAATTTAGTAAGTCTGGTCAGTGCCTCATCAAACAGGGTTGGTGAATGTTTATAGCCCTGAGGTAATCTGGTTCAGGTTAATTGGCCATTTTCTCCCACCTGAGGGTCCACCCATTTAAAGGCAAAGGTGGATTGACTTACTGGTGCCATTGGGATCGTGAAGAAGGCATCTTTTAAGTCCAGGGCTGTGTAGAATACTCAGTCTGGGGGCAGCAGACTCAGAAGTATATACAGGTTGGGCATCATGGGGCGGATAGTTTCCACTCTATAGTTTACTTCCTGTAAATCCTGGACTGGTCTGTAGTCTGGGCTTCTGGGCTTCTGGACTGGCAACAGGGGTGTATTCCAAGCAGACTTACAGAGTACCAGAATGTCCTCCTTTTTGAGTCTCTGTATATGGACATTTATCCCTAACCTGGCCTGTAGGCTCAAGGGGTCTTGGTGGACTCGGACAGGAGATGCCCTAGGAAAAAGAGATCACTACTGGTGGCTGATGGGTGGCTAGTTCAGCAGGGTTATTTTCAGCCCAGACCCCAGGTATTTCAGATGTCCATTTGCCAAGCAAGTCAGAGGGGATCTCTTCGGGTCTCTCACCTGCCAGCAGCAAATGTTCCTCAGTCAAAGGGCAGGTGTATAGGATGGCAGAGGGCAAAGGATTCGCTTCCCCAAATGAAATCTTTATAGAGTTTTCTTTTTTTTTTTTTGAACCAGGGCTTGAACTCAGGCACTTGAGCTTGCTAGGCAAGCACTTATTCTACTGAGCCATCTCCCCAGCCCCCCCCTTTTTTTTTCTTTTTCTTTTCTTTTCTTTTTTTTTTTTTTCTACTGAGCCATCTCCCCAGCCCCCCCCTTTTTTTTTCTTTTTCTTTTCTTTTCTTTTTTTTTTTTTTGAGTTTTCTTGTAAGGAGATTTGTGCTTATAATTTATGGAGCAAGTCATGACCAATTAGGGGTACAGGCATTCTGTACCCCTACAGAATGAATCATAACCAGGGAAGAGTGAATCATGTATTTTGTTCCCAGTTTTCCTATATGGACCTGGGTCCAAGGGTCTGACTTAGTCTGTGTGTGTGTGTGTGTGTGTGTGTGTGTGTGTGTGGCCAGCTTAGCCCACCAGGGGGCGGGGTTGGCTGGCATGTGGTGCCGGGGGATTGAACCGTGGTCCCTGTGCTTTGCTAAGCTTGTTCTTAGTAGGTGCTTTAGACCACTGAGCCATCTCACCAGCCCTGCCATCTTTTTCTTTAACTCCCTAAGGTCTTCCCTGTTATTAAAAACTCATTGAGCTATCTCTACCAAGTCTGTCAGTGTTTTTCCTTTAAATCCTTCAATCTTCTGCAATTTCTTTCTAATGTCTGGGGCTGACTGAGAAATAAAAGCAATATTCATAACGTGGTGGTTCTCAGGAGCTTCAGATCTATCGGTGTATATATCCAATAGGCCTCTTGGAGATGCTCTAAGAATGCCACCGGAGATTCATCTGTTCCCTGAGTGACCTCCATAACTTTAGACAAATTAGTAGGCTTTCTACCCTCTGCCCTAATTGCTCCTAAAAGAAGCTGGTGATACTGATCAAGAGCCTCCTTACCTGTATGGGAATTAGAATCCCAGTTAGGACTAGTCAAAGGGAAGGATTTCTCCAGTTGTACAGTATCTGAGGCCAGTTGGCCATCAGGGCCCAAAATTAATTTTCCTTTTTTTTTTTTTGTGGCTGGCTCAGCCCACCCTGGAGGCGGGGCTGGCAGGGCCTGTGGCGCTGGGGATCGAACCACCATCCCTGAGCACTTGCCTAAACTTGCTTAAGCAGGTGCTTTAGATGGCTGAGCTATCTCGACGGCCCCCAAAATTAATTTTCGTCCAAACCCTCAAATTTGCTCTCACTCTTCAAATGTGAAGAGGCTCTGTAAAAGCTGTTGGCAATCATCCCAAGTGGGCTGATGGGTGAAGAAAACAGATTCCAGAAGAGATATAAGCCCTCGAGGATTCTGAGAGAAAGAGGGCTTCTGGTTTTTCCAGTTATATAAATCACTAGTCGAGAAGGGGACATAAACCATGAAAAGGCGGTCATCTCCACCCAATTTTTCACGGAGAAGTACTGGGGCTGGTGTTGAGGCTGGAAAAAGATCAGGGTCAGATGGTGGGGGCTAAGAAAAGGGCAGTTCACTATGGGTGTGTGGCAGACTCAGAGGAGTGAAGGAGTCGGGGCTAGCTGGAGCCAAAGTGTTAAGAGAGGGATGGGACAGTTTAGGGTAAGGAGGGGGAGTCAGGGATTCAGAAGTCAGGGGCAGCACAGGTGGCCTTTTAGGACCCTGAGGATCCTTTTCTGGAGTGGCAGCCAGTGCCACCATACCAGAGGCGCGTTGACATGATGCCCAGGAACAGTGACAGGTCTTCATCCACTTTGAAGGGTCCCGCAATAAATCTATCCATGCTTGGATATATAGGATTTCATCAGGATGTCCCAGCTTTCCAAATATGACCCTGCAGACCTGATAAGCAAGGGATACTGTATTTTTTTTTCTTCTGGAACTGGGGATTGAACTCAGGCCCTTGTGCTTGCCAGGCAAGCGCTTATTCTCCTGAGCCATCTCCCGGCCCCCTTGATAAGCAAGGAAGATATTAAAAGAGCCCTCTGGAGGCCATATGGACTCTGATAGGGAGGGCCACTCCAGTTTGCACAAGGTGCTGAGAGTCCCCGGGGAGACAAGGTCTCCGTAGTCAGCATATCCCCGACGGAATTCCTGGAAATGATCAAGAATACATTGCAGGGGCTGGTGAGATGGCTCAGTGGTCTAAAGCACCTACTTAGAACAAGCTTAGCAAAGCACAGAGACCACGGTTCAATCCCCCAGCACCACATGCCAGCCAGCCCCGCCCCCTGGTGGGCTGAGCTGGCGACACACACACACACACATAAATAAATAAATAAAATTTAAATTAAAAAGAAAAGAATACATTGCAAAGGTGATACAGAAGCAGAAGCACACTGACCCATGGTTATCAGACAAACGACAATTGGCCAAAACACACAAAAACAAAACAGAAACTGACCTGAGACTCCGACCCATTGTCACGGAAAGGAGTCGAGTCCAGAGGCTGTCGCTGTGTCCAGCACCTCTTAGGACTCTAGGAGGGGGCACCCCAACAGAACAGATACAGATGTCTTACCGGCAAGATCTTTCAGATGGCTCAGTCTAGTCGGTCCGAATGTTAGGGTTTATGAGTTTTTGGAGACCGTCCCAGGGCCAGAAAGTTCCTCTGGGAAAATGGTTTCCAAAGACTCTGGTTCCTATGACTGATCCCCAGTAAAGGGGATCCTGGACGAGCCCCCAAATGTTATAGGTCATTCTGCATAGGAACCAGATCAGCCAGATAGAAATTTGAATACAGCCTTTTATTTACTGAGCTCAGGTCCATCAGCCATTACTCACTCAGGAGAAGACTGATTGGCACCCAAATATAGGTAGCAGGGGGGTATTTATCACAGAAATCACATCCAGTTTGGTAAGCGAATTTGTTACCTAGCACAGAACAACAGAAAACTACATTCATTTGACACAGCTGCAAACCGTTCGTAACTAAAGGGTCTTTCACAGCCTAGTGATAAGTGCATATTTTTACAAGATACACCTTAAGCTGACCACATTACAGGAGATGATTGGGGAGGGAATTTGTTTTAGCTTGCTCCCTTGACAAGAAACAGTTTATTGTTAAAAGAGCCTTGAGTCGAGAGGGAGAATACATTTCTTAGAGTAGATAACAGGAAGCACAAGGCTTTTTAAAATAATTTCCCACAGTTCAGGCACAAAATTCTGTTAACCCTTTACAAGTTCGAGACCAGCGTGGCAGCTACAAAAGTAAACACAAGGCCAGCTGGAACTGCATAGTAAGACCTTGTTTCAAAATAAATAAATTAATTAATTAATTAATTAAAAATGAAACAAACACAAGATATCCTTCCACTGCCCACCTGCGGCTTCCTTTTAACCAGGGCAGCCCACTCAGTCCTTCCCAAGCCTCCTCTCTGCTTTCATAAATATCTATTTGCTTAGGCACAAATGAAATTTCTAGATTTAGTTTTCTCAGGGCTCTTCACACGGACTTCCACAGCACTTCATTGGTTTACATTCCCACCACCAGTGTAGAAGAGTTCATTTTTGCCCACAACCTCACCAGCACTTTTTTTTTTTTTTAAGACAGGGTCTCATCATGCAGTTCAGGCTGGACTTTATTTTTATTTTTTTAAATTTTATTTGTGTGTGTGTGTGTGTGTGTGTGTGTGGCCAGCTCAGCCCACCAGGGGGCGGGCTGGCTGGCATGTGGTGCTGGAGGATTGAACCGCGGTCCCTATGCTTTGCTAAGCTTGTTCTAAGTAGGTGCTTTAGACCACTGAGCCATCTCACCAGCCCCCAGGCTGGACTTTAATTTACCATGTAGGGGCTGGTGAGATGGCTCAGTGGTCTAAAGCACCTACTTAGAACAAGCTTAAGCCAAGCAAAGCACAGGGACAATTGAGATCCTCTTCGCATCTGAGCAAAAATTTATTAACTTGTTGCCAACTTCTGGAGGGTGCAGCTTCTCTACCCAAGTTTTTGAAACCCAATAGGTGCCCGGAACATTTATTCCGCGTTACTGAGGTTGCGACTCCGGAGAGAAAAATGGAGGGACTCAAGGTTTGATAGGCTGAGATTGTACCCAAGGAGAAAAGCAGCTATGTATGTCGCAGCTAATAGGAGGCTAGAGGAAATGACGTAAACGGAAGTGCGTTGCACAGCCAGATAAGCTTGGTAAATACTTAATCAGTTTTCCGGAGCTGTGAGAACAGAAGGAAGCGAAGATGTCGGAACGGAAAGTTTTAAATGTAAGTGTTTATCGTCTCAGGTTTTCTACTCAGAGCGTCACATCTGGAAATTCCAGAAGAATCTGGTTTACCGTGAATTCCTTTTTGAACATTTTCCTTGTCAACGGCTTACCGCGGGTGGGGCTTCCTAAGCTCCTCCCAGTCGCCTTTTCTGGGAGGAGGGCCTTCGCTAAACCTTCCCTTCCGGAGCGTACTCAGTGACGCGCGCGTTGGGGGGCGGGCCTTGGAATCCTAAATTATCCAATCACTTTCGCCGGAGACTGGGCCTCTCGAAAATATTGGCGAGACTGTTCTAAGCAGTCACTTTTGGAGGCGGGACCGGAGGCGGGACTCTTAGGCTCCGCCCTCCAGAGTCTCTAGCCAATCATGTTCCTTGTAACAGTTTCTAATTTTTGCCTGGCGCCTTGGTTCTATTAGTGAGGGATCCTTTCAGTTACCTGAACACCGCCCAGTTCTGTTGAGCGAACAGCAGGAACCTCCTAGCATATATTCCTATGCTGTACCACAGCAGTTGCCTCCAGTCATCGGATGTGAATCTGCATGGCTAAAATGGGGGAGAGGTGCTCTGTAAAATGGGTGCCCTTTGTTCTGTCTCCTAAAGTCTTTTCAGGGGTTCCTTGAGGCAAATGTTTGCGGTGTCCACGGGGTGCATAAAGCAGGGTGCCTTATTTTATGACGTAACAGTGGAGTTATTTCTTGTTACTGCTGCAGGAGATGGAACCCAGGGTCTCACAAGCACTACATACCCAGCGCCTTTTTAACTTTTTTTTTTTTAAAGATGTATTTGGTTCTTACAGGGTCTCACTATGCAGCTCAGACTCATAGTGATTCTCCTGTTTTCAGCCTCCCCAGCACTGGGATTACAGGCGTGGGACACCTGAGCCCGCCCTGAGGGTCAGGGTGGCGCGGCACGTGGTGCAAGGGATGGAACCACAGTCCCTGAGCTTGCTTAAGCTTACCTAAGTAGGTGCTTTAGTCCGCTGAGCGATCTCTCGCTGGCCCTAAGCCTTTAAAAAAAATTTTTTTTTTAATTTTGTTCATTCTTACTTTAGCATCATGTATACTAATATTGGAATGATAAAAGCGCAGGGTCTTTTTTTTTTTTAATTTTATTTGTGTGTGTGTGTGTGTGTGTGTGTGTGTCCAGCTCAGCCCACCTGGGGGTGGGGCTTGCTGGCATGTGGTGCTGGGGATTGAACCGCGGTTTCTGTGCTTTGCTAAGCTTGTTCTAAGTAGGTGCTTTAGACCACTGAGCCATCTCACCAGCCCTAGCGCAGGGTCTTGAGCTCAGTCCCCCTACCAAAAGCCCCTGCACAAGGATGACATGCAAATTAATGAAGTGTTCCATATTTATTATTATTATTATTATTATTATTTTGTATTTTAGGGGAGGGTCTACAGGGTGTTCATGGTCTCACTACTAGATCGGACTCGTAGTGATCTGCCTGTTTACAGCCTCCTAAGAGCTGGGATTACAAGCGTGTGCCACCATGCCCAGTCTCAATTGCCGCCTCAGCGCGCCCCGGGGGTAGAGCCGGTGGCAGGCCTGGGGGTGAACCCCCAGTCCCTGTGCCAGCTTACAGGCACTTTAATCTGTTGAACTATTTGACTGGCCCTAGTGTTTCATATTTTATTTATTTATTTATTTTTATTTTTTAATATATTCCGCTGTTTATTTATTTATTTATTTTTTTAAAGAATTATTTATTTATTTATCCATTCATTTTGTGTGTGTGACCAGCTCAGCCCACCAGGGGGCGGGCTTGCTGGCATGTGGTGCTGGGGGATTGAACAGCGGTCCCTGTGTTTTGCTTAGCTTATCTTGTTCTAAGTAGGTGCTTTAGACCACTGAGCCATCTCACCAGCCCTGTTTATTTATTTATTACATTTATTTATTGTGTGTGTGTGGCCAGCTCAGCCCACCAGGGGGCAGGGTGGGCTGGCATGTGGTACTGGGGGATCGAACTGTGGTCCCTGTGCTTTGCCAAGCTTGTTCCAAGTAGGTGCTTTAGACCACTGAGCCATCTCTCCAGTCCCAAGTGTTTCATACTTTAAAACACACAACATTTATTTGTTTTTGAGACAGTCTTACTGTGTTATCCAGGCTGCCATGAGCCATAAGCAACACTCCTGCCTCAACCTCCCAAGTACTGAGATCACACATGTGCACCTCCACACCTGGCTTTACATTTTATTTTGAAACAGGGTCTCACTTTGTAGCCCAGGCTGGACCAGAGCAAGTGATCCTCCTGCCTCAGCCTCCCTAGTGCTGGGATCACAGACATCCTCCACAATCCAAAGGTGTTATTTTTGATAAACTAGACAAAGTACCCCTACTTTCCTCACCTCTGATACTTTGTCATAAACAAGTTAGGATGGCAGGTCTGTGACCACCCTTCTTAGAAAGGGATGCAGGAGCTCGTGTGATGGCGCACATCTGCAATCCCAGCACTCAGGAGGCTGAGGCAGGAGTATCATTGGAAGTTGGAGCCCAGCCTGAACTACAAAGTGAGCTCAAGGCCAGCCTGAACTGTATGGCGAGACCCATATAGTGTCTCAAAATGAAAACTAAGAAGGGCTTGGGGAACTGGTGAGATAGCTCAGCAGTCTAAAGCACCTACTTAGGCAAGCTTAGGCAAGCACAGGGACCATGGTTCAATCCCCAGCATCACATGCTGTACCAGCCCCACCCCCAGGGCAGGCTGAGCCAGCCACAAATAAATAAATCAATATAAAAAGTTTTTTTTTAAAAAAGGCCGGGGGTGGAGCTCAGTGAGAAGGCGCTGGGTGCTATCAGTATGGAAGGAGAGAGAGAGGGGAAGAGAATGAGCAGGATCAGTGCTTGGAGGGTTTTGCTTGTGGCTGGCAACTGGGAACTTGTTTCAGAGTAATTCCCAGCTCCCAGGTGGGAATGGCTGTGGTATGTGCCTCATTTGTGCCAACGGTGTGGTTTGTTCTGCACCTCTGCTCTTTGGTACTCTGGAGTCTCGGTGCCAGCCAGAAGGGGCTGTGTGACCAGGTTCCTAGGAGCTGCTGGTAGCTAGACATCACATGTGCTGTTGCTTCTTGGGGAAGTGAAAGGACCTATTGACTTTCCTGCAAGAAAATTCTAGAAGGTTGCTCTATCCCCTTACTCCAACTGTGCCCCTAGGTTTGACTGTGGCTGATGGTGCTTGGAGTTGTTTGGTTGTGGTTGACCAGACAGGGGCTGAGGCCGGTGAAGACTCCTTGTGACTCACTGAGTGTGGGGTGTTCCTGCATCCCGCTTTTCTCTCTGTCCATGTCCTGCCTCTGCTATCCTTGACTGCTTCCTTCCTCCCTACAGAAATACTACCCGCCAGACTTCGACCCCTCGAAGATCCCCAAGCTTAAGCTCCCGAAGGACCGGCAGTACGTGGTGCGGCTGATGGCCCCCTTCAACATGAGGTGTGTATCTGTCCCCGAGATGGAGCCATATGCCCTGTATCCTGTGTTCCTGCACCCAATTAGCCAGTACTGCCCCAAGATGGCTCCCCTCACCCCCTACCTCAGGACCCTGAGCTCTTGGAGTCTCCCAGGAGTGGTGCCTGCTGCCTGAAGGTTGCAATTGCCAGTGGACACGTGGCTGCAGAGAGGGTGTCGTGTGCTTGCCTCTGCTCCCCCACAGCCAGGCTCGCTCCTCCTTGGGCCTCTTACGCTCACTGTGGCTTCTGTCTGAACCCCACACACCCCGTTCCTGATCACCGGTTGATCCTGGCTTAGCCCTCCCTCTACAGAGGCTACGTCATCCTCGGAGCCTCCCTTCAGCGCTTCTGTCATTTATCAGCTGTGAGTCACTCAGCTGATGTTGTTTCACCATCTCCAAAGTTTCATGCACGTGCCAGTCAGAGCCCTTTGTTTTCTTCTTTTTGCTTTTGTCTTTTTGACCCAAAGTTGCCCTGTGCAGTTCCGGCTGGCCTGCAGCTCAGTCTGTAGCCCAGGCTGGGCTCTGACCCGCCCCCCTCCTGCCTCAGCCTCCTGAGTGAGGGGACTCAGGTACGTGCCACCACACCCAGCTTCTCAATCCCCTTTGAATCAAAGAAATTCAGAAGATCTTTCTGTTGACCTGATTTTGTTCTCTGTTGACTCTGTTATTAGTCATTTCTTGGGTACCTACTGTGTGCCACAGTCTACCTTGGACTCTGGGGACACAGTCCCTAGCCTCCAGGAAGCCACCAGCTAGTGGCATGTGGAGATCATAAATTCATCCTCGGGGTATCTCACACTCAGCCAGACCTGGAAGTCGGAGGAGAGGGAGTGACTGCATGGTGGGAAGGGAAGGCTTTCTCATCCAAGAGGAGGGCAAGTTTGAAAGAAACGCTGAGGTCTGTGAACAGGGTGTCCCGGGCAATGGGTGCTGCTACGCAGAGTCCCTGGGCTCAGGACAGGCTGAGGCATTCTTGGGAATAGTAGGAGCTTAGGATCCAGGTGGGTGGGAAGAGTGAGGCCAGGGTGGAAGAGCCCTGGTGGGTGGTGTCCCAAGCCCAGGTGTGCCTTGGGGGCCAGGCTCGTGTTTCCCAAGGCGGTGATGTGTGGGCTAGGCAGGCCTGAGCAAGCCTGGCAGCACAGGATGGGGTCAGTCTGTGAACTCTGGGTCAGGCTGCTTGTGGGAGAGGGAGCTCTCTCTCCGGAAGCAAGCAAGCAGCTACCTCTCACGTTATGCATCGGAGCAGTGGGAGTAAGAGCCCTGAGCCAGCACAGGTGCCTTCCTGCCCCAGGTGTAAGACCTGTGGAGAGTACATCTACAAGGGGAAGAAATTCAATGCCCGAAAGGAGACGGTGCAGAATGAGGTGTACCTGGGCCTGCCCATCTTCCGCTTCTACATCAAGTGCACGCGCTGCCTGGCAGAGATCACATTCAAGGTATCAGCTGCATTCGCCTCCGCCTGGACCCCTGGGGGGGGCTGGGCTTCGAGCTTGGTCTCCTCCCAGCAGGGAGACCCATTCAGCCGACCCTGGGGAGCAGGCAGATGTTCACAGCAGTGTTGCTTATACAGGCACAAAGCTGCCAGGCTTGGGGCACACGCTTGTCATCCCAGCCACCATAGAGGCCGAGGCAGGAGGACCACTTTGCAAGACCATGTCTCAAAATAAAATTTAAAAAAAAAGGGCTGAGGAGTAGCTCAGTGTGAAGGCCCTGAGTTCCACCTCTGGTGCTATAAAACACAAAAGCCAACACCACCCAGGCGTGGACTTTGTACAGTGGGGCTGGGAGCCCTGCAAAGATGGCCCTGTCCTTCTCAAAGCAGTAAGACAAGGAAAAGGAAGAGAAGATGACAGGAAGGACAGGGAGCTGGGAGACGGCCCCAGGCTGCCTGGGGCTGCTGGACATGGCTTCCACTGCCTGGTGCACAACAGGTGATGTCCGCCCACCCCAGACAGACCCCGAGAACACGGACTACACCATGGAACATGGCGCCACGCGGAACTTCCAGGCTGAGAAGCTGCTGGAGGAGGAGGAGAAGCGGGTGCAGAAGGAGCGGGAGGATGAGGAGCTGAACAACCCCATGAAGGTGAGTGTGGAATGGATATGTGGCAGGCAGTGGCGTGGCAAGCATGGGTGGAGGAGTATCACACACCCTGCACGGCACCCAGAGTGACCTGGAAGGGGCCTCCTATGTGACCAGGCTGTGTCACATCTTGTCTTGTGGCCTCAGGTGAGGAGAGGGAGTTTCTCCAAAGAGATTTGAAGGAGCAGCATCAGGGAGGCGTGGTGGGTCACAGACAGGACAGTGGGTGACCTTGCTGACAGCTGGGTCAGCAGCCAGCAAGGCTAAAGTAGTTGTAGGGGGTGCAGAGGTGCTCACCTTTGTTCCAGCACAGTGAGAGGCTGAGGCAGGAAGGTTTCAGGTTAAGCTTAGCCTGGGCAACTCAGCAAGGCCCTGTCTCAAAATGACAAAAAAAAGTTGGGGTGCAGCTCAGGTGAGTGCTAACACAGTGCTTCCTATCCTTGAGTTCAAATCCCAGTGCTCCACTGGATGGCTTAGGAGCCCCTGGCAGCTGTGTCCCTGCCCCAGACCAGGCCCAGCAGGCTCTAGTCTGTGCCCACCCTGCCCCCAGGTGCTGGAGAACCGCACAAAGGACTCAAAGCTGGAGATGGAGGTGCTGGAGAACCTGCAGGAGCTCAAGGACCTGAACCAGCGGCAGGCACACGTGGACTTCGAGGCCATGCTGCGGCAGCACCGGCTGTCAGAGGAGGAGCTGCAGCGGCAGCGGCAGGAGGAGGATGAGCGTGAGGCCGCGTGCGTGCGCGGGGTCCCATGCAGTTGCGCTGTGCTCTGTGTCCCCATCTCTCTGTCCCTGTGTTCCTCTGCTCCATCTCCTTCCAGATCTGCCCATGCCCCCTGGGGTCACCCACTCTGCACCCCGCCTCCCTTCCTCCCTCATGGTGTTTGTGTCAGGGTCCCTGCGGCATCTCTAGGTCCTGGGGTTCCTGAGCAACCCAGGCCTCAGCGTGTGGTTGCCTGTCCTTGTGCTTGGTGTTTGGGTTTTGGGTAATTTTGTAGACTGGAAGTTGAACCCAGGATGTTTGCACTGAGCTACACTGTCAACCTTTTATTATTTATTTTGAAATAGGGTTTTGCTAGGTTGCCCAGGCTGGATTTAAAGTTATAGGGGCCAGGGAGATGGCTCAGTGGAATAAGCACTTGCCTGGCAAGCACAGGGGCCTGAGTTCAATCCCTGGTTCCAAAAATAAATAAATAATTAAGTAAGTAAGTAAATGTACAATCCTGCTGCCTCAGCCTCCCATAGAGCTGGGATGACAGTGTGTGCCCCCATGGCTGGTATGCCAGGCAAGCACTGAGCACTGAGCAGCAGCCTGGTGGTTTGTAGAGTGACAGGGTGTAGAGCAGAATGGAGCACTGGGAAGGGCAGCAGGGCAGGCGGCAGGGCTTCCGCATTCCACTCCTGGGGCCATGCAGGGTGGGCTTGGCTTTGCCCTTCAGACCCTGCATGGTTTCTGTGTCCCCATTTCCCACACAGGGCACTGTGTCCCTCCCCTGGCTGCAGTAGGGGCTCAGTGGGCACCTTAGAGTGACAGCTCAGTTCCCATGACTGTGGTGGCGGCAGCCTGCCATTGCACAGTGTCTTGTGTCTGCTGGGCCTGGCTGACGTCTGCCTCCTCCACAGCCTGGAGGCTGACATGGCGGATACCAGGGTTGGGGACTGAGGTCACATTGCCTGAGACACATGCCAACCCAAAGTCCCCCAGACAGGGTGGGAACCCAAATAGGCTGTTCTGGCACCCCTAACCACTGCATGGTCCACAGATTTTTTTTTTTTTTTTTTTTTTTTTGGGTGGAACTGGGGATTGAACTCAGGCTCCTGAGCTTGCCAGGCAAGTGCTTATTCCACTGAACCATCTCCCTGGCCCATTTTTATTTATTTATTTATTTATTTATTTATTTATTTATTTATTTTTGTGGTACCAGGGATCAAACTCAGGACCTGGGGTTTGCCAGGCAGGTGATGATGCTGCTGAACTATATCCCTGGCCCCATTAATTTTATTTTTTTAATTAATCATTGAGCCATGGTCTTGGTATGTAATTTAGGCTACCTTTTATACTCACTGCATAGTCTGAGCTGGCCTTGAACATGCAGTGATCTTCCTCAGCCTCCCAAAGGCTGGGATTACAGGTGTGGCCACCACACCAACTAAAAGTGTTAATTTTACAGTATCTAATCAAGCCTGTCATTCCAGCTCTCTGGAAGGCTGAGGCATGAGGATTGCAAGTTCAAGCCCAGCCTGGGCAACTTAAGTGAGACCCTGTCTCAAAATTTTAAAATGTTGGGCCAGCGACATAGCTCAGTGTACAAAGCCCCTGCTTTGGCAAGCACAGGGACCAGGGTTCGAAGCCCAGTGCTGCATGCCCCACTGGCCCTGCTTCCTGAGCGCACTGAGCAGGTGAACAAGTCTGGGCGTGGTGGCACATGCCTATAGTATCAGCGCTGGGGAGACTGAAAAGAGGATCACTACGAGTCCAAGCTGTGCAGTAAAACCCTGTTCCAAATACATAAATGAAAAAAAAAATTTAAAAATGGCCTAGGGAGGGAGCTCAGTGCAGAGGCTCTGGGTTCCATCCCCAGTGCTGCAAAATATCTGAGCGCAGGACAGGGCCCTATGCGGGCCCTGGGTGCCGCCCCTGTGTAATATGTTCCCAACTCTACAATCTGTCACACAGGGCGCTCTTGGAGGAGGCTCAGAAGCGAAGGCTCCTGGAGGATTCGGACTCAGAGGATGAGGCTGCCCCTGCCCCACGAGCCCTGCGACCCCAGCCTACTGCCATCCTGCATGAGGTGAGCCCCCTGAGGAGCCCTGTGCCCAGGGGCATGGGGGAGCAGAGGGTGAGGCCTTTCCCCCACAGTGTCCAGGGCTCTGCCTTTGTATGGGGTGTGGACAGTGAGTCACGTGTCAGGAATCCCTGCGGGACTGTCACTTTCCAGCCTGGGGAAGCCACCCTGGGAGGGGACATGTCACTGGCTAGTGTGGGTCCTTGCTTTAATGATAATAGGCATTAAAACTAGATTGTAGGGGCCAGGGAGATGGCTCAGTGGAATAAGTGCTTCCCTGGCAAGCTCAGGGGCCTGAGTTCAATCCGCAGTTCCCTGGTGCTGCAAA